GACCACCCATAGCGATTAGCACTTAGTACAGCAATAGGAAGCGTCGATGTCACGTGTTGAATGAATGAAACGAAATGCATACGTGAAAGCAAAGGTGTCTGGGTCTTTGCTTGCAGAAGGGTATCTAAGAAGGAAGCTGGGGAACTAGGCACTCCGGACCCAGTTTGGGAGCAAGAGAAACCCTAGGAATGAGCCAAGCGATAGGTAGGGATATGGGGATTGAGGAAAGCAGGGGGAATCCCTGATGTCTGTGGACGTAATAGCAGCCACCAGGGAAGGAGAATGAGTCCCAGGTCACTGCTGCTCAGGGGGAGGCCGGGTGTGATCTCCTGCAGCAACATCAAGAAAGTGGAGTGCTCTTGTCCTGCCGAAGAGGCTCAGCAGTTGAGCATCGACCTGGGATCCAGGAGATCGCGGTTCAATTCCCGCTCAGGGTACATGCCCCAGTTGCGGGCTAGGCCGTCGATCAATGACTCTCTCATCATTGATGCTTCTCTCTCTCTCTCCCCCTCTCCCTTCCTCTCTGAAATCAATAAAGACATATTTTTTTAAAAGGAGAAAAAGAAAGTGGAGAGCCCTCAGGGAGCACATTCTGGCTCGAGGTGGTTCTCAGCCACCACCTGCGTGTGATCTTGTGCTCCCGGGCAAACTGGGTGGCCATGAGAGGCAGACACCGTTAGCAGTCAGAGCAACTGGGTTCCCATTCTGGCTCCACTGCTTGGCCCTGTGTGTGACCTTGTGCCACCAACTTAACCTCCCTAGAGAGCTGAGTTCCTTGCCTATAAAATGAGCATTTTACTAGAACCTACCTCATGAAACTGTGTAAGGATTAAATGAGATCATCCACCAGAAACATTTGTTAGAGTAGCTGGCATATATTTAGACTGCAATAAATATTACCTATTATTATTAGTTTTTCTAAGACTCTTTCTCCATCTATAAAATGACAAAGTGAACCAGCAAATGTACAAAGTCTCTTACAGACCAAAAAAAAAAGGCACTGATTTCATGCTTCTGTTTCCATTTATGCAATAAGGTGGGAGCGTGTGGAGTCTGGGTGAGCCAGTTCTCTGAGGAAGCAGGAAAGCAAAGGTGGACTTGAGTGTGTAGAGAAATCAGTGAGTGGATTATTGTCGCCTGTGATGAGAAACAATGTCTACTTAAAAGTAAGAGGGTCTATATACTACCTTCTCCGGTTCTACCTCAAGCAAAGCCTTAGGAGCAGTTTCTCGCATCTGCTGGAGCTCAGCCTGGCCGAATGAAAGTCTGAAAAGCCAGGGGTTCTTTGTCTAACAGATGGGCTGGGCTGACGTTCGTGGATCCCAGTCTTCCTTGTAGCTCACAGCACTTGTTTCCCTCCCTTTCTGCTGATAACACCAGACCTGCAGTCTCCCTGCTTAATAATCAACTAACCTTCACATTCCCATGTCACATGGTCCTCGCCACACTTTGTGGCCTTTCCCAGCGGCAGAAACATCCAGATCGTTTAAAATCTGGGCTCGTCACACAGTTTTGGCTACACTTACGTACACATTTTCAAAGCTGAGGTAACAGAACAGAGGCCCTTCCTCTCTCTTCCTTTCTCTCCCCACTGTCCTGTCAGCCCACGTCCCATCCACTCGGATTGGACCTGGAGAAGTGTCACCAGCCACCTTCCTAGAGTTGCTATTCTGAGTTATCCTTTGTAGACCCAGGCATTCCAGACTTCAGGAGGAAACAAGTTTAATATTTAACCCCGAGGGAGCAAAGGGTATTTAGAATAAGATCCGGAGTCCCAGGAGGCAAAGAGAGAAAGTCACACAGGCAGAGAGGCAAAGGAAGAGCCATCGTCCGGATGTGAGAGCATGAGAGGCCGCAGCCAAGCTCCTCACAGAGCGCTCTGAGACCCTGCTCAGGACACTCATCAGATGTACAAGGCAAGCGGTGGCCTGTGCCTCCGAGCTCTGCCTGCAGAAAGCTGGCGCTAACAGAAGCCAGGGCGGTGGTTTTGCTTACGTAACTCCAGCAAGAATCTCCTAAACCTCTCGACTTAGGGAGCTTCCCACAAAAGACAAATGGAATCATGTCTCCGTTAAAGTGGACTCAGGAAAGAGACTCCTTTATAACCAAGACTAAGTCTCCAATAGACCCTGAGAACTACAATTTGCCATGGGATGGGAAGCACAGCAATTGATTACTTTAAAAAAAATTATTTACTTATTTTTATTTATCTTTATTGTTGAAAGTATTACAGATATCCCCCCTTTTTCTCCCCATTGATCCCCTCCACCCTGCATCCAAGCCCCTCTCCTCTGGCAAACAACTGTCTGCTCTCTGTATCTATGAGTCTGTTTTTATTTTGTTTATTTTGTTCTTTAGATTCCACATACATGTGAAATCATATAGTATTTGTTTTTCACTGTCTGACTTATTTCACTTAGCAAAATACCCTGTAGCTCCATCCATGCAGCCACAAAAGGTAAGATTTCATTCTTTTTTATGGCCAAGTAGTATTTAATTTTGCGCATGTAACATACTTTTTTTATCCACTCCTCTTTTGATGGGCACTTAAGTTGCTTCCATAGCTTGGCTATTGTAAATAATACTGCAATGAACGTGGGGGTGCATATACCCTTTCAAATTAGTGTTTTGGGTTTCTTCAGATATATGCAGTCTATCTCAATTAAAACAATGAAAGTGTATATTGTCGGTGATGAAAATATGTAGAGTCAATACATAGAGGTAATCTTATGGATTAGTGTGGGTCTTACAAGGTGACAGAATTTTGCATGTATGGTGGTTATAATAATAATAGCTATCAATAGTAATTTTTGGAAGTCTACTGACCTTTAAATATATAAACTCATTAATCTTTATAATACCTGTATAAGATTATTATACCATTTAAAAGTAAGAAAACCAAGGCGTGGAAAGATATGCTGGAAAAAATCATCAGACTGAACACTTCTGGGACCTGGGTTCCAGTTTGGGATATACATTGGTTGGTGTGAGTTTTGGGGCAAGACATAACTTCCCAGAGTGCTTTTTTTTTTTTTGGTTTAGTGGGCATAAAAACAAGAGAAACACTCTATTATTATTTACTATGGGTCAGGCACAGGAATAAGCATTTTACATGCATTACCTCACTTAATCCTCACAGTAGGCAAATGGGGTAGGTACTATTGGCCTCGTTTTACAGATAAGGAAACTGGTGTCTAGAGAGGTTGAGTAACAACTGGATGTTCTCTTATGTGCTAGAGCTGGGATCTGAATCCAGGTCTGTATGTCTGTAGAGCCCATGCTCTTAACCCCTATGACTTCTCCTGCCTCAGTGCCTTTAGACTTGCTATTCCCTTTGTCTATAATACTTTCAGATTTCTCTAAGGCTGGCTCATTCCCATCTGTTACGCATTAACTCCTAACATCAGCTTAGCAGAGGGTTGTTCGGTTTTTGCTCAGGGCTGTTGCATTGTGTAACTCCAGGGGGTGCGGCTCACATAGAATGTAATGGGGTTGGAGTGGAGTGATGTGGCAACTCCAATTTCTATCATCCCATCTGGTTTTATTTTACTTCTTAGCACTTACCCCTATCTAAAATACACTGTTTTATTTATATAAATTATTTACTGTCTGTGTCCCCTAAGAATACATGAACTTCGTAAGGTCAGGAACCTGCCTTATTTATTGCTGTTTGTCAAAGACTCAGTGGCAGGCCCACAGTAGGTGTTTAATAAATTATTTTTGGATATTCTTGAATACATTATACTGACTTCCAAGAATCCTTTCCTCATTAGAATCACAAAGTTGTTGTAGGACAAAGTTTCAAAACATCCTTGGAATCATGAAGGCATCGGTGTAGTAAGTTAGGATTGCATGCTACTTCTTACGTTTTTTGTGCTTTAAGTTTTATGAGCTGTGCAGCAAATTAGGACTCTCAGTATCATTGACCAAATAGGCATTTGTCTGACAAAAATTAAGACATCTCAGAATACCATGTGTTGGAAAAGATACTGATCAACATGTATCACTTTTATATTTTGGATGAGAGTGTACTTTGGTTCAACCACTTTGGAAGCTAGTTAGTTGTGGCCTTGTAAAGTTAGCATTCACATTTCACATGGCTCAGCAATTCTCTCCCAAGTGGGTATCTATGAGAAACTGAATCTTGCACCAAGAGATGGTGCAGGATTGTTCACAGTAACCCCATTTATGGCAGTAACAACAATGGAAATAACTCAAGTGTCTAATGACAAGAAAATAGACAAGTTAAGTGTGCTCTAGAAACTTTCGAAGCCTTGAAAAATGAATTTACAACTACACATAAAAATCTAGAAGAACCTTAGTAATATAATCCCAAATTAAAACAAGCAAGCCCCAGAAGATTATATAAAATCTAATGCTCTTTTAAGAATGTTTATTTAAACACCCCTAAACTGCTTAGAACAAAAAGAACAAGAGAATGGTAAACTCAGCATTCCCCACGGTGGCTACCTTGGGTAGGGGAAAGGAGGGAAGACTGGGAAGGAGAACACAGTTAAATGGCAGTCGTTGTCAGTGTTCTGGTTCTTGGATAGTTTCTGGCATTAAACCTCCTGCTTCAACACCATTATTTCATATTCCTCCCTCTGCAGGGAGACAACTGTAGGAGGTAGACCCAAAGGTGACTCTTACAGGATAAGCTGGACCCAGGGGCATGTCCGCTCAGCTTTGTATTCCCAGGGTCTGTGTACAGTATCCAGCAAAACACAAATCCTCAGTGAACAAATAAGTGAATAAATATGAGGAAAATGTAAAGTTCTTTTGGTTAATACTGCGTGTAATCCAAGTAATCACTCCGCGCCAGACTTTACCCTGCCCCCTACACATAGTGAATTGTGTAACCAATTTCCTAATTCATTGAAAGTAAAAAATACTGACATTTTCCCAGGGTAGTAAAAAACCATAGAGCATTTCCCATATAGACTACTTCACAACACTCATCAATACTAGGATGTGTAGGGACAAAATGATTTCAACTCACAGTACATAAAAAGCTTTTTAATGCACTTATTTTTTTTCCAGGCAAAAAAGCTTCAGAAAACATCCATCATTAAGTAGTTTTACAAATGGCACTTTTGGCTACATTAGAGAATTGGAGACGAGTCCCATGTGTTCTTTTCTGATAGGTTAGCAGTTGATCAGCTTTATAAATGCAACCCTTTCTTAGAATAAAAAATAGCTAATTTGTTCTAAAAGACAAGAAAAGTGAAACCCTAAAGTCACTGTTTTAAAAATTTAACATTTATTTCATGCTCTACTATCTATTTTCACCTTATCAGTTTAAGTATTATACTACAATTTTTAATAAAGGGAGAACATAAATTTCAATCTAATTTAAAAATAAGCATATATACTAAGTACATATATTAATGCATTTAACAATACCATACGCTAACTTTGATGATGATCTTCATTTTGGCACACTGCAGATTTGTCCTTTTGGTATTGAACTGAGGAAAAACATTATACCTGAAATTCTGCCTTAAATGAGTAAAACCATGGTCAATGATATCAGTAGACTCCAACCAATCAGCAAAACTGAAAAGAGTTATTCTGACCATTTATGAACAAAAATGAAAATGGGATTAATACTCAACAGGAGAGAATAGTTAACATTATTAGTTTAAAATAGGTCCTGAAAGTGGATTATTTTCACAGCATATTTGAAAGGAATGAGTATCTGAAAATGTAAGCCTCCTCTTTGAACTGAAAGCAATGATTTTAATTTATTCACTGCTGCCACTCCAACAGTCACCTTTAAGATGGTGTGAAGTCGATCTCATCTAATCTACTCAGACGTGGATATCTTCTTCATGTTATCCATCATTTCTCAACTAGTCCCCCGATCAATTTATATAATTATTTAACAGACATTAATGATAAAACATCAGACAGTAGGATCAACCTAAAAGGCATTTTTCTCTCTACAACAGAATTAACAAACATATCAAAAGTGTTTTCTCTGGGAACGAAGAATGCCATTTCAGGGATTCTAATGAGTGAAACCTTAATGCAATACACTGCTACACACAGACACACACGTACATTGAAATAAAAGTTCTTAGAAATACTGCTTACTGTTAATTGATAATAATTCTTGGTGTTACATTTAGGGATGGAGTTTCTAAAGGTTAAAGTAGTTCTACTGTCAACATACCACATGAAATACTTATATTTTTTTAAAGGATAATTTAACAACCTGAGTCAATTAAAATGTATACCCTTCACCCACCTTCACAGGTACATGGCACCATTCGCATTTTATAAGTACCCCAAAGCCAAAGGCCTGTTTTCACCAAATTACCCTACACTGCAGAACACCAGACTGGAAATGACATAGGATTGGGGGCCAGGAGACTGAAGTTTGGCCCAGGCTATGAACCCAACAAGCCTCATGATTTTGGACATGCCAGCTGACAATTTCACACCTGCTTTCTCATCAACAGGACAGGAAGATTAAACTGTGTGCTCCATGGCTCCATGTAGCACTATCAATTTAGCATTTTCTGACTTTGAAGTTTTTATTAGGCACTGGGCTTTATTCAGAACTTAATGTTACACTTCTACCCAGTGGTTGGTCAGTAATTTGCATCTGGAGAGCTGAAGTCTTTCAATAACTGGGCAACTCCTTAGTCCTTTATTCAAAAAATAATGTGTACCTACTCTTGGTGGAGTAAAAATAGCCACAAATTCTTTATAGCTCCTCCCATCAAAGGTAGAGGCTACTTCCCTACCTCTTGATTCTTTGTGACTTGCTTTGGACAACCAAATGCTATCCAAGTGACACTGTGTGACTTCCAATCAAGTCCACGAAAGGTCAGGCAGTTTCCATTCTCACCCTCTTTGATCTCATGAGGCCTCATGAGGAAGCCTGGGCTAGCTGTGGGGAAAGGCCACGAGGAACAGAACTGAGGCACCCCAGCCAACAGCCCCAGCCAACTGCGAGACATATGCATGAAGTCTTCCAAGATCAGCCAGCCCCCCACCAACTATTCACTGACCACAAATGTTTGTGTAAACCCAATGGGTACCACATGGAGCAGTGGCTGGCCACCCCGGCAGAGCGCTGCCCAAACTGCCAACCATAGATCATGAGCAAATAAATAATGCTAGAAGGCATGTTTGGGGGTGGTTCGTTGGACAGCCATGGAGAGCTGCCACACTACTGTGTCAGGGCTGCGCTAGGCGAAGGGAATACCTGGGTAAGAAGACCCGTCCATTTTCTGCAGAAGCTCAGAGTATAGTTAGGGAGACAGACATGCAATGCGACAATTTCAAAGTCAATGTCATCAGTGCTGGAATTATAGGTGGTTGGCGCATGAGGGTGCATGGGAATTTAGAGAAGGAGCGTGAATCCCAGAAGTAGGGAGCTGGAAAAGGTTTCTCAGAGGAGACAATATCTAATGGGAATTAATGAGACAGATTTTTCCAGGCAAAGGAGATAGAAGGATATTCCAGGGACGAGAAGCTGCATGTGCAAAGGCTGGAGGGAGCTAGATAGGCCCCGCAGAGGGGTGGGAGTATTCACTTTTATCACAGTGCGAGGATGCCACGGGTGGGCTGGAGGAGTAGCTAAGGTGAAGCTCTCTTTGCCCTAAGTAGAATTCTCTAGCATTTGGCCTTTAAACTGAAAGTGATGAGAGCCAAAGGAGAAAACAGTCCCTCCCTCCCTCCCTCCCTTCCTTCTTTCCTGTTGATATTCATACAACCAAAGATATTAATGACACTGCATCAAGTAAATTTCGCAGGCAGGAGGCTCTGTGGAGTAAATAAAGCTGGACACTGACTTCTCTGGTGCTTAGACTGGCTAAAGGGAAGTGATATTGTGCCAGGGTCCAAGATCAAGGGCATTACGACAAGGGAAAAATGTACAAGTAGCAGGCAAGAAGATGCCATTTCCTGAAAGGTGGTCCTTCTCTTGTCAATTAATGAATACCTGGGGACAGAAAGCATTTAAGGCTCATCTTTGAAAGCTGTTATAAAAATTTTTAAAGCCACACACTTACTAGTTGTGTGGCCTTGAGCATAAGACAAACCTCTTTGTGGGTCAGTTTCCTCAGTTGTGAAATGCGGACAATGGCATTGACCTCACAGGTCAATTGGAATAAGCAATGTACAGTTTAGCACAGCACCTGGTACAGAGCAAGCCTTCAACAGAAGGTCCCTACAGGGGGGAAGGCTGGGGGGTGGTAACATGGGCTTTAACATTAAACAAACCCGTGTTTGAATCCAGGCTACTATCACTTAGTAGTTCTTGCAGCTGGGTGAACTTAGACACCATTTTTAAACTTGCTCAGACCTAGTTTCCACAACCGAAAAGAGGATAATCCCTGCCTTGGGGGTTGTGGCGGCGATGAAAAGAGATCATATTTGTTAAGACGGTGGCACAGAGACTGGCATACAGTACAAACACACATACGATCATGTGTATGGAGATGATAATATTTCTCAAATGTAGATTGACAGTATTAATAGTAGCCATTCTATCTTACTTTGCAACCCTAGTCTCTGACTAAAGCTATAGATCAGAAATGTTGGATTACCAGAAACATATATATGTAGCATCTTTAACACAGTATGTCGATTCCACCAGTACCAAGACATTATGATAACCTATCACAAAATAATGGCTGAGGTACATCATTCATATTTTATTTTGTTAATACATAATAGGAAAGTAACCTCATCGTTCAGAATGCATTATATGAAATGAAGAATTCAGCATTCCCTGGCTCCCTAATTTGGCACTTTGAGGAATTTCCTCTATACACCAAGCCTCAAAATTCATTCTTTTCTAGACCAAAAAAAGAAACATGCATATATACAAGCGAGCTGCAAAGTTACAACACAAAGCCTGCTTTTTGGCGAAAAAGAATCCTGCCAAATAAGCAGCAGGCCATTTCCTTAGAATACGTTCTACTAGAAAGCTAGTAAATATTCAGGCCAATAAGGCAATGTCGTTTCAAGTTTTATCACATATGGGCCAAGTTCTAGGATACTTCACTTAAGAGGGGACAACCTCAAAGTGAAATTTTGCCAGAGGCTCGATTCTGAACTCTATGTGTATGTACAGATGCCTCTGTTTTGACATTCAACACATTCAGCATTAATTCTGGAAGATGCTGTAGCTGATAGAACAAAATGATTTCGGCTCAGACAGACAAAACAGAGCAAACAAGTTTAAGTAGCATCTCCCTATCTACTCACCCATATCATCACAGAGTTTTTGTTTTTTATCTAATGCCATAGTTGAAAACATATGTTAAAAGTTGATACTTTTAAGGGCAGGAATTAAGAAAAAGCCATTTTTTCCATGGCTTTTAAGCTCTTGAATGCTTTAGAACCCTCTTCAAAATGCTAATCAACAGGCACCACTCCTGTGCTCGTTGCTTTAATTTGAAGCTCGGTGAAATCTACATTCTCTAATAAACAGTCCCATGCTCATTTCGGTGAGGATTCAATTTAAAGTCTATGAAAACTCCTCTACTGACTCTTAACGAAGGGGATTTTAGCATGTTGCTGTTTTGGCTAGAGAAGCATTTCAACAACTTTCTGCAAGTTAAGATAAGAAACAGTGGATGAAAACTACAAACAGAGATCAGGTAAAGCAATTCTACCCAGTAAGAAAATTCTGTCTCAGATCTTTTCTACACTGACGTAAGCTGTTGTCTGTAAGATGTATTACCCGGTTCTTCCACTTCATACAGTGTATGAAACTCAAATTCAGATGTGTGTGCGTGGAGGAAAGATCTGCACATCCAGGGCCGCCCAAGTGCATGGAAGTCTGGTCCTTGCACTGCTTCGCGTTGTCTCGGTGTTGCTCCTCTGCAGGCCCCTCGAAGCGCCGGGGGGCCACCCACTCAGCACTCTAACTCCTCCATGACTTCCATGACAATGGTCCGCGGGCCCGTCAGAATCAGATTGCTCACGGTCCGGTAGTCCACATGCAGCACGTTGAGCCCGTTGACAGAGACGACAAACTGACAGACCTGGAGGCAAGACAGAGAAAAACCAACTAGTATAGCTTCTGGTTTTCACGAGCTTCTAATAAAGACGTTGTATAGTTCTCACAGGTCATGTCATTCTTTTTTTTTTTCTTTTCTTAATTTTTAATTGATATTTAGAAAGAGGAAGGGAGAGGGAGAGAGAGAGAGAAACATCGATCAGCTCCCTCCTGCACACTCCCTACTGGGGATCGAGCCCAGAACTCAGGCATGTGCCCTGACCTGGAATTGAACCAGCAACCTTCTGGTGCACAGGTTGATGCCCAACCACCTGGGCCACACCAGCCAGGGCCGTCACGTCATTCTTAACATACTCAACCATACGCAGCTGACACTGCAATTCCATAATTTCTAAGAAACTACATTTTTTCTGGAAGGCAATGTAACAGAAAAAGGATTTGTTGTGTCATTCTATAAAATTGGGTTTAAATCCTAACTCGGCAACTTACTAGATTAAGCTATAGGTATTTACATTTCTGAGCTTTACTTTTCTCAACTCTGAAATAGGGATGATTAATAATAACAATACCGCCCATAAGATTGTTTTAAGAATTAAATGAGGTAAAGTATGCAAAGTTTCTCCTAGAGTGCTCTGAACCTATGGGGTACTCAATACATGATCACAGTCACAGTATTTATGGCTGTTATTATTCATTTGGACCTAATGTATAGGGGGACCTATGGCCTGGTGTTCCCAGGACAGTCCTGTTTTATACCTATTGTTCTTGCATAATTATTAGTAGTGCCTCCTTTGACTTGCCAAGGTGTCCCAGTTGAGATAATAAATTCCACACATTTCCCTATTTCCCATCCTTATGAAAATGGATGAGACCAACAAAGGTCAGCTTTTATGTGTGTGCTTTTTAAAACTGATTTTAGAGGGAGAGGAAGGGAGAGGGAAAGAGAGAGAGAGAAACATCGATGTGAGACAGAAACATCCATTGGTTGCCTCTTGCACACACCTGACAAGGGATCCAGCCCGAAACCTAGGCATGTGCCTGGACAGGGAATCGAACTGGTGACCTTTCGGTGCACGGGATGATTCTCAACCAACTGACCCACACCGGCCAGAGCCAAAGGCCAACTTTTATATTGTCAGTGTTACTTAATCTGATAGGAGAGAGAATTACAATAAGAAAGTAAAAAGGCATCATCCAGTAATGAGAGGCCACTCTGGGTATGACATCTGGATATGTCACAGGGACTGGATACTGACCCACAGCCACAGCCACAAATGGAAGTACTTTTCTTGACGTTGGTGGTGGCATCAGGTACTGGGCACTTTTCATTTAGCTGACACGCATGAACAGATGGCATAGCTGTTGTGCGTCTTGAAGATGTGGATATTCAATATGAGTGATCTGATTATGTCATTCAAGTAGAAAAATGGAGAGAACACAGATCTCTAGCTGTCAGCGATATGAGCAAAACAGAACCAACTGGCACATGGTAGGTACCTGTGGCAAACTAAGTAATACCCCAACCCCAAAGATGTCCACCTCCTAATCCCCAGAACCTATAATATGTTAGTTTATGTGGTAAGGGGAGTTAAGGTTGCAGATGGAATTGGGTTGCTAACCCGCTGATTTTAACAGAGGGAAATTTCCCTGGTTTATTTAAGTGGGCCCAGTGGAATCACAGGCAAGAAAGTCAAAGGCAGATGTAGGAGAGGTTACAACAGAAGCAAAAGGCTGGAGTGATACAAGGAAGGGGCCAGGAGCCAAGGAGTGCGGGCGGCCTGTAGAAGCTGAAAAAGGCAAGGAAATGGATTCTCCCCTCAGAGCCTCCAGCAGGAATGCAGACCACCTGCTGACACCTTTATTCCAGACTTCTGACTCCAGAACTAGAAGGTAATACATTTGGGTTGTTTTAAATCAACAAGCTAGTGTTAATATGTTACAGCAGCCATAGGAAACTAATAAATATTAGTCTCGAATGAATTAAATGAATACATGTAATAAGCAAAAAAGAAAAAAAAGCACAATTAGGGTTGAACATGAAGGGTTTCTTAATTCTGATAATTTATCCCTTCACTTACTGGGTGGCTTTTTGTGTCACTTAAAATCCTCAACAATATGTAAACTTAGATATTTGTTTCAAATTATTTCCTTGAATGAGGCAAACACCAATAACAAAAAAGCGATTTTATCATGCTTATTTTCAAGGTCGTATTTTTAGAGTCAGGCTGTTAGGAAAGATGTCATCTCTCCCTCAGTGGTGCTAACAACTGCTGTGGTTCCAGCAGTTCCAATGTTCTGTTACTAAAGATGTACAAAATGATAAAAACATACAGGTAGAACTATGTAATATATTCAGTTAAATGGACTTTGATTTAGCGTGTACAGTACACTATGTTCTGCAAATAAACACACATTACAAGTAACCACAGGGAGCGTACAGCCCAGGGAAAAATCATTTTTCTTCTATATTAAAAAGCAAATACATGTAAACAAACAGGAACTGTGATGACCTCTGAATAGGCCTACCTACCTTAGGTGCATATTACCTCCTACCTGTGCTCAGGAGACTTAGAGGCCACCCATAGGTGGTAATGAGAATTCAAGTGAGGTTAAGATGCCTTTTTTTTTTTTAATCAGATCTGCCTTCTAAAATCTGATTACAATTTTCATTTCCCCAGTTCACAGACAAGAGATCAATCGTGAGCTCATGTAGCTTCTCTAAANAATCTGATTACAATTTTCATTTCCCCAGTTCACAGACAAGAGATCAATCATGAGCTCATGTAGCTTCTCTAAATTCAATCTACAAAAAAAGAAGTACCTTTACTTCAGAAAGAAGGCATATGAAGGACATTATCCTTAAGAAAAAAGGAGAACAAAACTTTCCTAAGTCATAGGTGAGTGAGGTCTCTGACCACAGTAGGTCTGGAGAGAGTTAACAGGGCAAGGGAGGCAGGGCTCAGAACATTTCAGGGTGTGATCGGTTGGGATAAACACCTAGGCTGAACTCCAGCCTTCCTCCTGATAAGGAGCCAAACCAACCAAATAATCTTGCCTCTAATTCCTCTCCCTGTGCCAGTCCTGGCAGATGTCTGACAGCCCTCCGGACAGATTGAGTGCCTGTGGGATTGTGCAATTGTACATTGGTTTTTCGTATGGCTGGAGACAGATCACAATTATTCAATTGTTTCATCCAAAGTGGGAGTGAGGCTGGGAAGAAACACTACACCTAGGATTGCACAAGTGTCCTCTCACTGCCATGGAAATCTGTATTCACCAGGACACTTCCCTGAAATGGCTGCATTCATGTGAATACTACTCTGGTCTCTCTCCACCCCCCACCCCCCCTTCCTCCGTCCCTCCCTTCCACTCTCTCTAAAAATCAATGGGAAAAAAATGTCCTCAGGTGAAGATTAACAACAACAACAAAAAAGAATGTGGCATTTGAGTTCTCCTTCCACCATCCCTGAAAACGGAATAATGTTCCCTTCACCATCATTATCACCACCACCATCATCACCATCATCATTAGCATGGAAGAGCATGACCCGGAGTAGTAAGAGGGCATTTTACTCTCTTAAGAATAACTCGAGCCAATCTTTACATCTGGGCCAGCCCTGGCGGGGGTATAGGTCGTCTTGTTAACCTCAACCAGAGTTCAAATAACCATGTTTCTTTATAAACTGCAGGAGGAGGAAGGTGCCTCTCACTGCAGGCGGCTTCGATCTTCTGCTGGGCTGAGGTGAAGATTAATGACTGCTAGATGAAGATTTTAAAGATGCCAGGGGGAAAAGATGTCACATGAATGTAGGATGCATAATCACCCTGGGTAAGCATATAATTCAGCCAGCAAGCCCCAAACCAGCCATTTGTCATGGTGATTACATCACCTCATCGGTGCAGTTAACTGGCATTACCAATTCCACTCACATTCCTTTTCTGCTGTGCAATCTTTGCTTCACAATAGAAACAGGAGAGCAGAAGATTGAGCAGACCATCTGTCTTCTGTAGGTGGGTGAGAATGTTGCTATCAGGTGATCAGCACAGCATGGGTGTTAGCACTTGCCTATAAAGCTTAGCTTATCCACAGCAGAAATGGATTTCCTAAGAAGTTTTTCTCCAGGGATTCTCGCCTGCCTGCCTTCCCTCCTTGCTCCCTTCCTCCCTCCTCAGTGAGGGTTTCTGCAAGGGTAAAGCTAAGCATAGAGTAATGGAGGAAGCACCAGGAGATAAGTTCTCGTCTCAGCTCTGCAGCCAGGGAGCTGAGTCATTTTGGATCACTTTGAGTCACTTCACTCCTCCAAGCATTAATTTTTCATCTGATAAGTTGGGCTGAAAATTTTTATATTTATTAGGGACTTTAAAGCACCTTTCAGTTCTAAAGTTCAATGCAAAAAAACCCCCATTTCTATTTATTAGTGATTGAACTGTCTATTAACAACTTTTGTTTACTGGTTACTGATGTGCCAAGAACTAGGCTAGGAGTTCGTGTATGTTAAATTTGGAAAGGGGTTTTATTTTTAGATACGTAAACTGGAGTTCAGAACAATACAAATAAAAGAATGTAAGATGAAAATCTGTCTCAAGCACTTATATGTTTTAGATATATTAAACAATAACAACAAAAAGATCTAAAAGATATGTTATAAAGCTATATTCTGTTAAGACACTTAAGTAGTACTGATATACGCATAGAGACCAATGTAGCAGAATTGAAAGTTCAGAAACTGACTCTCACACTCAGGCATTTGACTTATGACAAAAGGGAGCACTGCAGAAAAGAGGGACACTTTATGATAAAAGGTTCAATCAAAAAAATTTAAAAATTATAAACATCTGTAATTTTTAAAATTTTTAGATTATAAACCAATATATATACTAAATGTACATGCCTAACAAAAAGAGCCCAAAACACTAGAAGCCAAATTCACAGAATTCAAGGGATAAATAGATAATTCAACAATAATAGTTGGAGACTGTTCTGCTCCATGTTCAATAAAGGAGAGAACAACTAGGCATAACCCA